TTTTCATGGAACATGATCTTTACTTAATATCCTAATGATTTTTGGCATAAAAGAAAAATCAATAATTTTGACCCATAAAATGTATTTTTGGCTATTGCTACAAATATACCCCAGCGACTTAAGACTGGTTTTGTGGTCCAGGGTCACATATGTGTGTATATATATATATATATATATATATACTTACACAACCGCATTCTCGGAAAACACACGTTGTTTGAACACGCTGGACAACTAGTTGTAGTACAGTGCGAGAGAGCTGCTCATGTGTGGTTTCACTCTGGGTAAGTTACAGTGACGGAGAAGTGAGCTGTGCATCATCTGAAGGTTTTAGATCCAGTCACTGTTCTACACTGGAGCAGTTTCCGTCAGTTTTGTGTTCTGTGCCTGACTCAAATTCAGTGTCATGCGGGAGATGCAGAGAAGGACACGAGTGCATTTACGGGCTTGACTCTCGTTGCACGTTTATACAGACAGTATTCGAGAAACTAAAGTACAGTAAGCTGCTGTGCATCATCTGAAGGTTTTAGATCCAGTCACTGTTCTCCACTGGAGCAGTTTCCGTCAGTTTTGTGTTCTGTGTGTGACTCAAATTCAGTATCATGCGCGAGATGCAGAAAAGGGCGCGATTGCATATATGGGCTTGACTCTCATTGCACGTTCATACAGCCAGTATTTGAGACGCTACATACAGTAAGCTGCTGTTTGAACGGGACATTTCGAGACTGTAAGGAAATGCGGTTGTCAATTCCTAAAACTGAGAGTGTGAACGTGGTCGTAGTTAATGTAGTGATTTTAAGGGTAACAGAGACTACATGCTTCTGTGACCCTTCAATGAAGCAGATTCTTTTTCTGAAATCTTCACCAGATGTGTGGCTTGACACAAACCTGTTTCTGATTTAAAGCAGTTTAGCATAAGGCAGCAATTTAACAAAATGTGAAATAAATGAAGGGGTATGAATATTTTCGCAAGGCACTGTATATGTGACCCTGGACCACAAAACCAGTCATAAGGGTCCATTTAATATCGATCACAAACATGATCACTGCACGATCTAATGTGTAGTGTCTTATTAACTCACTGTCATGCATTGTGTGCAAATATGCATTTCTTTTCCCTCTTCACGTTTCGCTGATTTTCTCTGCTGCTAAAGAAACTCTTAAGCTTCTTAAAAGTCCTCGTCAGTACTCCTAACAATTTTGGACCTTAAGAGCTCTTTTAAGGGTTAAGATGCTTTCTGAATTACTTTCTTCTTTACTAGGATCTTTTCTTTAATTTTAAGAGGAAACACCCACATTTTCTAAGATCTTTCTTAGAATTTTGTCACTAAGAGCAACTCTTTGCACTAAGAATTTTGATGAATACGGGCCCAGACCTTTTATTCTAAATGATAAAGGAAAATTTTATTTCTCATGCGCGGACTACAAAAACTAAAGCAAGAGTCAAGCCTTATTCCATACCATTTTCTTTACAGAACCAGTTTGCCCTGGTACTCATTACTGATGTGCAGGAAAAAGAGGATTCTGGCAGGTTTTGTTGTTTGAATGGATCTGGACTGGCGACCCAAAGCTCATGTGTACAAATCGGGAAGATCCATGAACTATTAAGAACAGGTTGACGATCAAGTTGATATTTTGTAAAAGTGACTGTTGACAGACAGAGCCATGGGAATATTTCTGTCTCCCTCAGTGAGCATAGCTGGAGCCCTTATTTTGTTCTGTAAACCCAAATGGCTCTCAGGGGACTGCACAGTCTCAGAGCAGCTCCCACGACCTCTCACCTCCTACGTCCACACACACAGCAAATCAGGAGGAAAGGGGTGAAGCCAAGCAGGACTGACAGTATGTGTTCTGTTAGACTGCAAATGTTGTTGGATAATTGTTTTGTGCATGTTTTTTTTTACTTTTTTTTAATTCTATGACATATTCTATTTTAATGGTCCTTTACGCATTGCCCAAACACATTGTAAAACACAGAGGGAGTATGAGGACAGGACATCAAAATTAATCCATAATTAAATCTAATACAACAGATTCATCTGTCTGTTTAAATGTAATTGTTAGATGTTCTGTGTGTATGCGTGAGTATGTGTGTATGATTGCTGTGGTGTTAAATGTGCTGATGACCGAGGGCTCTTGTCAGTAATTGAGCTTAATTAATTTAAGAGCCTCGGATTGATTCCAGATCTCAGAGTTTAGTCCACAGTAAAGCAGGTGATGACTAACCCTGTTTTTAAAGCAGCTGGATTTATAATGTGATTCCACATAAACTTTCATTATTTACTCACCCTCATGTTGTTTCAGATCCTTATGCTGCTGTTTTTCTGCTAAACACAACAATAATTTGAAATTATCCATATTCATATATCCATTGTTTGATATTGTGTTAGAACAGTGTATATTATATATACATTTATTTATTTATTTATGTTACAATTAATTATATATGGTTTAAGTCTACTATATTACAGTTTATGTAAATTGTGAAATTTGCACCTAGTAACATATTTATTGGACCACACAACTAGCTGCATTTGCATGTTTTTTCTCATTTGAATTATGCCGTTTTTATTTTGAGTGCAGTTCTGCAGTGAATTCTGTATCATCTTCATACATTTAAGTGCTAAATTGACTATTTCCTTAAAAATAAGGCTGTTTATTTCAATATCCTCTCCACAATTGGCAGCAGAATTTTTTTTTACATGTAATATAACCCTCAGCTACAATGACATTGTGGTCATTTTCCAAGCTAATGTTCTCCTTTCTGTGTAAATCAACTATTTTGACTTATCTTAAGATACAGTACGTCTCTAGGACCTGCTGAAAAGATTATTTTTTATTTATAGCTGCTTTGTCTATTTGGTGATTTAATCTGCCACAATAATATCATATATTTGAACTGTTTTCATTTGAGGATTGTTTCAGCAAATATTGATATGCAGTCCATTTGATTAATCATGTAATTATTTCATTGCGTTTTTAAATCAATTGACAGCTAGTTGAAACACATCAGTTCTGAAATCCCTTTTCCCAGAGTCATGTGGAGATGAATGTCTGTGTTTTGATCCTCACAGGAAAGTTGGGAAACAGTCAGCAAAGACTTTGAAATTCATCTGGCATTTACAGACGCAGCATTTCTGCTCTATAATCCTCTCGAACACAGTGTCTCTGGTGCACCGACATTCTGTGTGTTTGTGTGTGATATCTGTTCTTTTCTGATAGGCCTGATCTGTAATAAAATGTCATCCAGACAAATGGCTCAGTACATTTTCTGATGTGGGTTCAGAGCTTCTAGCGGCTTTATGCTTAAAGAAATTAGAGCTGATGCAATTAGAGAACTAATATCCTCTTTGTCTCTGTTTTGTCTGTCTAGGAACGGGTGGAGTATCTCTTTCTGATCATTTTTACGGTGGAAGCATTTCTCAAAGTTATTGCATACGGGTTGCTGTGTCACCCTAATGCGTACCTGCGGAACGGCTGGAACTTGTTGGATTTCATCATCGTGGTGGTAGGGTGAGTACAAGCTCCCGGTGTAACCTGAAGTAACCCCTGAGACATAGGAACATATGCATGCATGAGTGAGTGATCTGATCTCTGGTCTGCAGTTTGAGTTATCGTAGTAATCTGACACACTTTAATAGAGAAGAATGCTTTTTGTAGGGTGTCAGTGGACAGCTTTGTTGTGTTTGCACAGAAGCTGAAATTGTGTTATGAAATGTAATGTTTTAAATATGAAATTATAAACTTATGTTCATGGAACGTAAACATGTTTATGAAACATAGCATGATTTATTACATTCTAAATATGAAAAATTAAAAATGTAAAAATAAACTTTCTGTAAAAAAAAAGTTCTTTAAAGTACTTTAATTGCTAAATAGGCTAAAAATATATAATTATTTATTGATATCTTTTTTATGTTATTGTACTTATTTTTTATCTTAATATTAGCTCTCTTATTTTAAAATACATAATGATGTCATTTATATGAACATTCAGTACTTTTCCAGGACTTTTGTTGGTTTCCCAGTAAAAAATAGTCAATTCACTCACACTACTGGTCTGAATGTCATTTCTGACAACTGGTCTGTTGCAGTTAAGCTCTATGTCTCATTTAAAGGGGTCATATGATGCTTTTTTAAAGATCATTATTTTGTGTATTTGGTGTAACAGAATATGTTGACATGCTTTAATGTTCAAAAAACACATTATTTTTCAAATACTGTACATTATTGTAGGTCCTCTGTGCCCCGCCTCTCTCAAACGCTTCGTTTTCTACAAAGCCCCTCCTTCCGACAAGTGCAGTCTGCTCTGATTGGCCAGCTGACCCAGTGCATTGTGATTGGCCGAACACCGCAAGCACTCGTTGGAAATGTAACGTCCCTTACCATAATCGCGAGCTTCAGCTTTCAAAATAAATGTAAAGACAGAGCCCGAAAGGGGAACAGAGTCGCATGACAGACACAGTGAAGAAGCTGGTATGTGTTTGTGATGTGACCCCCCGCCCCCTCTCTCTCTCTATCTCTCGCGCTCTCTCTCGCTCGCTCGCGCACACACACACACAATGCGCAAAACTCCGCATTTGAACAGTCAATAGCAAATACTTAAACTAATAACAAAACAGTAGCTGATTCAGAAGCGCCAGATTGTCAAAGCAAAGTCAGAATTACCTCCTCTCCTAGGTTCACGAAACGGTCGTCCATAAAATGCATTGCTGTTCTGCTGTAAGTAATCTTAAAGATTCCTAAATGCATCTACTTTCAGAAGGCCAAATAAAGGGCTTTTGCTTTCGCCTAGAAACACACA